ATATGTATATTTCTTTAAAAGTGGGTATGTTAATCTTAAAATTTTTTAGTTAAGATTATTATTACTTTCTATCATCAAATTTTTTAAGTTTCAAATACTTCATATTTTTTATTTGTTACCTTTTTATATGTGATATATCACATCATTTATTTTTAATGATGTTTGAGTTGACCCATATATTGCAATAAAATAAAAATAATATAATTATTTATATTGATATAAACTAATATATATATATATCAATAATAATTTAAAATAATAAATTAGACTTAAAGTATATAATATAATAAATTTTATATTCAAGTTAAATCAATTTTATCAAGTATAAAATAACATAAGATAAACTTGTGGTATGTTTTCCATACATAAATTTGAAACAATTCATATTAAAAAAAAAAAGTAAAAAAAATGGGTGTAAACTTCTAACTGTTCCCACGTTTTGGCTAGAGCGCCCAAATCCGATATATGTTTGACACGAGTTTGTTGTAATGCTGAAACTATGGCAATGCACCTTAGGGTACAAACAAAGCGAAGCAATGTGAAGTCATAGATAAAAGGAAAGGCTGGGCCAGAGAAAGGAAATGAAATAATATTAGTTATGCGAAGTCAATTACTGATGCAAAATGAACCCTATAATAGTGGTACCATATATGCCTTCAGTGATTTTGAAAATGACTTAGTTAAATTGGAAAAAATTCTAAAACCTTTTAATCTAATAATTTGTATAAAAAAGTACAATTTTATCAAATATATTAAATTACATTTAATCTTATGTGATTATATTAACTGTAGCCTAATAAATAAGATAACGTGATACCATCATTATATAAAACACATACAAAAAATAACATAATACGTATAAATGTGCTTTAGTTACTTAGCAAATAAAATATTATTTGTCTATATAATAAGAAACAAATAATATAATAATAATGCAATGAGAAAAAGAAAACATGCTAATTTTCTTAGAAAAGTATGAATACCAATATTTACAAACAAAAAGTCTTTTAAAATTACTACTTTTTTGTTGCTAGCGTTTAAATATATGGATTCTGTAAGAAATTGGTTCTCATAAATAATGATCATATATCATTTAATTTCAATTTTAAATAATTAAAAAATCTAAAAATTTGTATACATGATGTATATTTTAATCATGACTCCATAATAATAAACTTTACAAATGACTAAAAGTATCGTCATATAA